AGAGGGACTGGGAACAGGGGATGGAGGGACAGGCTTCAAACTGCCAGAGGGATGGGATATTGGGCAGGAATTGTTCCCTGGATGGAATTCCCAGAGCAGCTGTGGCTGYCCYTGGATCCCTGGCAGTGYCCAARGCCAGGCTGGACATTAGGACTGGGAGAACTCCAGGACAGTGACAGGGGTGTGATGGGCTGGGATTTAACTTCCCTCTCATTCCAAGCCCGTCATTCCGCATTTCTGTGGCACAGGAGTGGTCAGTGTCCGCTGGGCAGTGCTGGACAGCGGGGCTGGCTTGGCATGTTAGTGCCCACAGCGGGGTGGCAGTGCTGACCCTCAGTCATGGCAGCACGGGGCTGGGCCCATGGGTGACATGAGTGTCACCTTCACAGAGTGTCACCTTCACTGAGTGTCACCTTCACTGAGTGTCACCTTCACAGAGTGTCACCCCTTGCTCCCCTCACCCAAACTCTGCTTGGGACAAGGAGCAGGACAAAACCCTAAGTCTGGAAAAAGCGACCAGGGCGCCAAGCCTGAGATCAAGGCGCCCTTGTGAGGCACAAGGTGACACTGCCAGCATGTCCTGTGCAGAGCCAGGAGCGCGACTCGGCCATCCCTTGTGTCCAGCTYGGGATATTCAATATTTTTGGAAGGCAGGAGCGAGAAGGTGGAGCTGGGACGATGCGGAAAGGAGCAGGGTGTGCTCTTTGCTGCTCCACGCGCTGCCTCTGGCAGTTGTCCACGGTGTCTCTGCGTGGCTGTCCCAGAGCCCGGAGCTGCTCCTGGCGTGGAGCACGGCGCTGTCAGGGATGTCCCGAGGCAAAAGCTTTGCAGCCAGGAGAACACKCTGTGCTCTGGTCACTGCTCCTTGTTTGAGCTCCAGTGTGCAGGCAGCACTGCCACGCTTCAGCCTGGAGGAGTTTCCCCCACATTTACTGGAGGTGCTGATACCCCAAAGACCTTCTCCGAAGCCTTGGGAGGACTTTTTCAAGGGATGACAGGCGAGCAGAAGCCACTGATGGATTGGATGCAGGCTGATGCGCCATGTGTTGGCACAGCGGGCTAATTAATCATGTGGCAGAAACGTGGTGAAGCTGGCAAAAGTTAATTAGGCAGCGCTGACAGCGAGGTGGGTACTTGTCAGCAATTAGCRGTCTGATGGAGTGCCAGGATCAAAGGACTGCAGAAGCAAAAGAAAGTGCAGAATGTGTGTGTTTGAGGAAGAATAGCACCTGTGATGAGCTTTGAAGGTAGTAAGGGGTGTGCTGTCACTGGGATTGGTCATTTCCAGCTTGTTGGGGTTCCACTGGAAACTGTAATTTACTGTTTTACCCATTACCAGTACGAGCAGCCTTCTTTCTCTTCCCTAGTGCCAAGGTTCTGTTGGGTTCCTCCCTCTTTTTTTTTTTTTCTTTTAATTTTTTATGTCATTCTGACTTTCACTATGAGGGTCAAATGGGCAGAGGCCAATTTTCRTGTGTTTAAGAAACATGTCCAGATTTCACAGGGCAGCTGTAGAGCATGTGCTGAACCAATCTCAGTGTGACCTGAGAGTTTAGATTCATTGTTATCTCAATGAAAACAGCTAATTYCTCATTGGCTCAGTTTGAGAGAAATCGGGAGTATTTTTGGATTGTAAGCTTCAGCCTCTTCCACACCAGGACAATTCACTTTCTGAACCTGGAGTTTTAAACAGAAAGAGAGACATGATGTTCTCCCATCTGGCTAAATTAAAATAGCATTGGTGTGAGATCAAGCTTACACTGCAAACTAAACACRAGCTGGAATTTGGTCAGAACTTACTGCTCCTATGAGTTTTTGCTGCAAGTGAGGGAAGGTAGCTGTGCCTGCAAAAAYAGGAGGCTGTGCTCTTTCCCCAGAGAAACAACCTATTGATACTTTTTAAAGATATGAAGTTTGTCCAGGACTTTGGCATCTTTTGGTTAAAAGATGCTGCACTCAGGGTTGCATCCCATTTAAAAATGTGGCACAGATTCCTACTGTAGATCCATCTGCCYGTAGTGGCTCCTAATAAAATGGATCAGCCCAGCTGGAAACCAGCCAGCAGGCAACCCAGGTTTGGTCACGTCAAGTGAGGTACTTTTTTAGCAGAAGGTGGAAATTAAACACTTACTCAAGTCTTGCAGCTTGAGTTGGCAAGGTTTTCTCACTGTGTCCATAGTGTTATGGATTTCTTTTACTATGGGTGTAGTGACACCAAGGGAAAGAAAAAAAAAAATCTTGTGGAAAAAGGTATGGTTAGATGGGTTTTGRCTAATTGCAGTGGACTTAGGGGCAGTACAGCAGCCAGACAGCAGATTTCTGTGAACTACAGAGTGTGGGGATGGGAAACACAAATCAGTTTTAGAGTAGGGATTTGGCTCTGGAGGCTACAAAGGAACACAGCAAAAGGGCAGGAGGCAGGAGCAGTCTCATCCAAGAGCCTGAAATGTGGGCAGGAATTGGGGTGAGGTGTAAACAGCACTCTCTGCCTTACCTATGTCTCCTGAGAAGGATTTTTGGTGCCAGGTTTTCAAAGCTCTGTCTCCTTCTAAGCCAGGCTGCCCTGTGGGGCTGAGCAAGGTGCTGCTGTTACCATCTGCATGTTTGGAGAGGGTGGCAGGGSTAATTGCACACTTAATTCTGGCAGCTCTAGTGGAACATTTATGGGAACCCACCAAGGACTGGAGCATGAAAACCAACCCTCAGGCKTGGAGAGTTTCATGGGAATCACACTCCTGACCCTAAGGGCTGAAAATCAGACCRTTCTCCAAGGGTTTTTTTATTGCTCAAGTAAGCATTTCAGGATAAAGAAATTCATAAAAAGTCAGGAGGTGGTACTGCAAGAGCTGAGTAGGGATTTTTGGCAGGTGTCTTGTATTAAGCTCTATACTCAAGCAATGCAATTTTTTTTTTGAGCTATCCAAGCCCTTGGAGCATCAAGTGTGATTCCTGCCCTACTCAGTAAAAGGCTAGGAGCCATCACAGCCAGGAATGCTCTCTTCTCTTCCCAACTTTGAAAATTGTCCTTCCACAGGTGCCTTCCCGTTTTCCTGTGTCACGGTGGGTGTGTGTGCTGTATTTGGTGACTTGAGGCACAGCAGCAGGGTTTGTGCTCTTCCAAATGTGGAAGCAGTTGTGTTGTGACAGAAATTTCAGTGAGCTTCCAGGGGCAACAGGCTTCCACTGACACTTGTGAGGCATCCAGGTAGTCCAGGTCAAAGCCAGAAAAGTCAGCCAGGTGGTGCAAAATGCAGCCAGCTCTGTTTAGGTCCAACACTCCCATTGTAGGCAAAAAGAAAGTAGTTCGCTGTTTTTCTTGTCTGATGTCTTTGATTTCCTTGTTTCTGGTCCCAAAAGGCAAGGTTGCCTTCAGGGGAAGGAGGGAGATAAAAACCTATGGGTAAACATGGGGAGCTGAACTTGTAAACATTCTGTTCCGGACCTTGGCTTCGCTGTGGATGTGGCCAGTGTGTGACGCATGCGAGCARCATGTGCACAGAGCATCTCCAGAGGAGGTCTGGAGCCACTCAGCTCTCACAGGGGCCAAAATTTTGTYTTGCAGGCAGGTCCATCACTCATCACCTTGGAAGGTGGGGAATGGTGTCAGTCTTCTTCTTGCACTCTCATCAGAGCTCTGGTGTTACTGCAGGAACAGCTCTGAATTTCAATTTCTCAATTGAAAGCTTGAGGCTTTCAGTGTTTCTGGGATTCAAGGGTTGCTTCAAAGACCTTCTGCACATCTGTAGGCTCAGACTGACATCACTTTTTCTTTTAATCGTTGTGTAATAGTGGTGATCACTGAAATGCTTATCTAAACAAACATGTGACTGTRTTTCAGAGCTGGTCCATTGCATGTAAAGGACTTTGATGTCTGCAGCTCTGATCTTGTGCAACCTCCTCACTCATAACAACCTTCTACAGGGAGTTTGTACCAAGGCACAGTGTGGAATTTTAAAGTTAGCTATTAAATAGCCACTTTTGTTTTCTTCATGCAGCKTGGCTTGTGTGAGYRTAGGAAGAGATAAATCTCTGGCTGRGTGGTGTTGGAYGTATRTGYTGGGGTCTTCAGAAATTTTACAGCAGGTAGGGTTTAAACTGAATAAATCCCACTTCTCGTTTGAGACTCAGCCGTGAAAAGTGCAGATTCCATGAAGYTCACGTTGCAAAATAAGTGATATCACACTCTACACTCAGCTGTCCTGAATGGCTGCAGCAGAGATGGGGCGTCCTTTGGCAGTGTGCAGCCTGCTCTGTGGAAAGCAGCTGCATTTCTTCCTCCACGCCCTGGGAATAGGTTGTAGCACATGTTTCCCAGTGTTAACCATCTGGCTCCGGCCATCCATGCACAGGGAATGAAAGGCTCTGGGGTTTTCAGCCCTGTTGGGTGGGAATTTTTAACTTGCCTCACTGGAAAGGTTTGGTTTTGAGATGTTTTGCGTCCTTGCCGTGCTGCTCAGACGTTACAGGACATGTGCCAGTTCACACAGACTTGTGTGGAGTTTGGGCTGCAGCTGTGAGCTGTGCAGAGAACTGTCCCGAGGTTGAACACGTCACTCACCAGGAGTTTTCTGAAGCTGCCTCCCTGTGCTTCTTGCTGTCGTGTTCAGTGCAGCCCGTGGAGTTTTTAAAAGTTAAAGTTTTAAATTTTTCGTGTGTGCAATTCAAGTTCTGTAGTGTTGACACAGTTTTTTTCCTGTTCAAGAGAGATTGCAGTTAAGGTGCTGTGAGAGTCAGTAAAGCAGAGATATTGATATTTGATAGATATGTATSAATCAGCTCAGTTACTTGCCCAGGTATAATATTTCGCAGCAATATAAAGGTTTTGTGATAAAAGTTTTCAGTGGTCTGGYAAACTGCTTCAGAAAGTAATTTCTTGTTTTGGGATGTTCATGGCACATTTGTGCACTTATATGGGTGAGGGACCATTTATAAACCCTATGTAGTCATTGGCATTTGTGTGTCTTAAAATGTTTTTGCARTTTTTGGGGTATTTACAGATTCAACATCTCTAACTAAGAACTGAAATAAAAATTAGGAAATATTACTGTGAACATGCGTTTTTTTATTGTGTACATATGATACATGTGAGGAACTTACCAGCTGCTAGAAGGTGGATTCTGTAAAGGAAATGAGAAGCAAACCCAGAGGGAACTGACATGTCTGAGAATCACTCAGGACTCAACAACCTGAAACTCATTATAAACCTGTATTCCACRGAGACACGTGGTCATTATAACAAATCTCCACTGCCAATTGTTAAATGAAGATGTCCTGAAAGCAGGAAGGGCTGCTTCTGGTATCAGTGACAAATATTGATGTGCTGAGTTACAACGTTTGTTAAGGACACAGTGCAATATACTAACCTCTTACTCCTTTGTTCTTCATTTCTAGGTCAAGATGTGGTTAAGTATAAAAAGYATCTTATGGATGTACTCTACATTAGTTATAACATATACACTACCTAAAGGTAAGTCTGCTGTACCATTCATTAAAATAAATTTACTGGTCTGGTTGGCAGGGCATTTCACAGGACTGAGGAAATAGCCCAAACTCAGGAAATTTACTTTCTTTGCCTCTGCCATGTTGCACCATGTCACTAATTTCATTTCTGTGTCCTCCTCAAGGCCTGGTGATTTATATCTGCTGTGCTTGGGCTGCCATGAACTAACCTGGGGCAGGTCCTGGGACTGCTGGGGTCTGGAGCAAGGCTGTGTTAGGGCAGCTGCAGGTTTGGGTGGAAAGGAAGGAGCCCTTGTTACCTTTCTTGGTGATTACATGCTAAAACTGAAGTAGTTGCCATGGTAATTTGAAAGTTTGGGTCAGGCCTTTGGTAAGGGAAATATCCCAACAGCTGCTGCAGACTCACAAAATTGGGAAAACAGCTTTCCCAAGTCTCAAAGCAAGATTTTTTTCTTTATTTTCTTTCCCACTTCTTTCCAAGAAATCTTCGAACTGATTTTAGCCTTTGGGAAAATAAAATTTACTCTTTTTTTTTGTTTTTTTTTTTTGTTTTCCCTCACTCAGCTTGAACACTGTTGCTAGTAATGCCTTTAGGTAGTCCTGAATGAAAAAGAAAAAAAAAAAACAAAAAACCGAAATGGTTTCATTAGTGGAACCAGTTAAAAAAAAAGGATAATAGATTTAGATTGGATAGAAGGAAGAAAGGTCTGGATCAGACCAGAGACCTGACTCACTACCTTGCACAAATGCAGAATTCAGGGATACAGGGATTGAGAGGGCAACACTCTCAGTGGGGAGAAGTTGGATGGATTGYTGTAGAAAATGGGATGGCATCTTTACATGTCGCCTCACCTACTCTACTTTTTATTACCTCTTGAATTGCTCATCTTATCTCCAGAGAAGAATTTTTGGTACATAATCTAGTTTTTTATCTATGCCCCGCTCTTTGGAATGTAAACCAGGTTGTGGCCCATCCTTTTTGGCCCAAATTTTTTCAAAGAARTTCAGAAAGATGCTGATGTTCCTAGAACAGAATGTGAACCTTGTGGGGTTTACTTATTAAATTGGGGGCCATTCTATTGTCGTAAGAGTCTTAGCCATTTTCAAAGTATGGCCATAAAGAAGAAGACAAGCACAAAAAACTTTCCTTTTTCATGAATTGATCCAATTCATGATCCCAAAGAATCTGTGGGATCACCTCATGTCCTTACCTTTCGTAATCAAGTCAGTTGGTGMAACAGTATTTTTCAGGATGAATGTTGGAAGACTACATCAGTCTTAACAAGTATGGCTTTTGATTAAAAATATTCTAAAAATAAAAGATACCTCACCATTCTGAAGAGATAGACATCTTAAGCTTCTTTTAAAATCTTTTAAGCTTTTTTTTTTTTAAATGCTTTTTTGGATATAAAATTGAAGCCTTACTTTCGACTAGCTGGTGTGAAGATCTTGTAGTTTACAGGCTGGGCCTTGCACTTATAACCAAAGCTGTTTTTTCCTGTTTTGTGTGACTGTTGGTGGTGTTATGTTGAGTTCTGCAGATGAGATTTGCCTGCCTCCCTGTGAGTGTCTTGCAGACTGTGAAAGTAGTTCTTCACCACTCTGAGCCTCCTTCTCTTACTCTGCTTGCTCAGACCACAAACCACCCGGCAAAAGACTCAGGGAAGGTTTCTGTTGGGTCTTGGTCCATTACCTGTCAGTGTTTCATGCAAGTTTTACTCATTTTAATTCATTATTATCTTCACCAAAAGGCTTGTGTTTAATGAAAAGGCTTCTCTTAGGCTCAGTGCTAGTAGCTGGATTGACAAAACACAGAATTTCACTGATCCTTTTTATTTCTGCTGCTAGACAGGGCAATATACCATATGTCCCAGCAGGTTGTTGATGAACTGAAAAATGAGATGCAACTTTTTTTTTTCCCCCTCATAAATTTGGCTAAAAATAAATAGAATATTTTATTCTTTAAGCATGTGGGATTTGTCTGCTTAGTCAGCAGCAACATTCTGTTCACTTACACTTAATTACGTAGCAAATTCACTCCTCTAAGCAGTGTCACACCATGTAGGGCACTCTTTTATTCATCCTCCTTGTCCATTGCAGACCTAGTGGCCTGGTYATTCTGATTAATGTGATAGAGAAGAGCAGAATTCTATTATTTAAAAAAATTATCTAGACTCCTACTTCAAGGATTTTGTAATGTTTACCATAGAACAGATATATGAATTCTAGAGAAAGAGACTTTGTTCTCAAGAAAGAATTCCTTTCCTCCCACCTCAAAAGGAAGATGTCCAGCTGTGTGTCATTGGTCTATCACATACCACTGATAGRGGCTGACATGGAATATAAGCTTAGCAAAAATGCTAAAGGGAAAAAGAGGGGTTATATGGATTAATATAAAATACTGATAGCTTCTGCATTGGTCAGTAAATTCTGATAGACTAATYTGGACTGCTGTAAGAAATCAAGCTTTTGGTAATTGTTCAAGAGCATCACTTAATCTTATATTTCAGATGTTTTGTCAAGCCAATATTTTCTTTTTCAGTAGGGAAAAACTCCTTTCTCCTCCTTTCTCCTCCTCCTTTCTCCTTCTTCTCCTCCTGCTTCTTCCCTCCTCTCACCACGACAAATAGGTTTTTATAAAGTGTGTCACAATGATTTCTAAAGTTGGACAGATCTGCAACTACACAGAATCTCCTATTCTGGGATGTAGCACAGTTTAGGCTGGGTCTAGTTTGCATATCAAGATGATAGGTGTTGCTTGCCAAGGCTTCCAGCTGGCTGACGTGAAGACACGAATTTTAAAGGGAGGAAATTTCCTCAGGGCTCAGTGCTGATATTCCAGATCACTCATAATCAGAAACAATGTTCTTTAAAAAGTTTATTAGAATTCTGTCAGTCAGAATAATTATAATTAAGTCATTCTTCATTTAAGAGGAAAGTTCCTGCAAGGTGTATAGATGACAAGAGATCATAATAAATTCTAAATATTTTGAGACTGATTTTAATCTCCCACCTGCRCAATTTGGCAGTAATTCCATCACAATTGATAGAACTGAGAATTCATTCTGTTTCTTTATCTGTAACCACTGTTACTCTGTGAAGTTTCAAGAAAATAAAGGTGATGTAAAACATATCTGGTTTCATCAGTTTTGATACCATCACCTTGACTCCATCTGAATYGTGTGCCTAAGGAATTCTAGTTTGGTAGGCATGGTTGGAAAGGAYCTGAGGACTTCCATTCAGAATTCTGTGTCTTCCCTGCCAGTTCATTTTCCTCTTTTTATAGTCAGTACTTTATCATTTAAATGCTWGGCCATCAAGCTGATGACTATTTTATTGAGTCATTTTAGATAATACCATTAATMCTTTGTCCTGTATMAAWTCAACAGCCTGTGTTAAAASYRACCAKRTTARTSAGCAATTTTCYTTYYTTCTTCTRTTTTCTTTCCCCCYTYCYYTTTYTSKKTTTTYTTYTCTYYTYTTTTYT